TATATGTATATGTATATGTATATGTATATGTATATGTATATGTATATCAGTCTGAGCAAGCCATGGGAGACAAGCCAGTAAGCAGTAGTCTCCCTTCAGTTCCTGCCTCCAGGTTCCTGTCCTGCTTGAGTTCTTGCCTTGTCTTCTTCAATGATAGATTGTGGTTGGGAAGTGTAAACCAAATAAACCCTTTTCTCCCCAAGCTGCTTTTGGTCATGGTGTTTTATCACATCATTAGAAAGCAAACAAAGACAGCTTGCTAGATTGCCAATTTAGGGAGCTGTTTTAGCTAGGTAGACACAAAACATGCCAAGGCCGGATATTTGATAGGGCTTCTAGTGATGAATTCATGCACAAGATGAAGTACAGTGGTCTTCCACACTTGTAAGTAGAACAAAGTAATTATTGGGGGAGAAATTGTCTCTGTTGAACATAAATGAATTAATGTTTTTGTTCATTATTCCCTAAACACCATCACACAGTGACTGTTCACATTTAATCTACATTGCATTAGGTATTATAAATGATCTAGAGATGAAACACCATGCATAGAGGCTTGTGCATAGATGGTAAGCAGTGATGCCACTTTACATAAGGGATCTGAGCATCCTTGGGTTTGATATTTGCAGGGGCCCTAGAATACTTCCCAGGACAGCAGCAAACAACAACTGTAATCTTAACTGCATACCGGAATACCCAGTAGGTAGATTTAGAGTTGTTTTATGGCCATATCCAAATATGCTGACCAATGCCACTGTAAAAAATACATTTGCTATCCTTACTAGCATCACAGACATACATAACTTATTTTGTACTGTACAGGTTTTTAGATGAAATGCAGAAAATACTTTTATTGACATGACAGGACCCGAAGAACAGACTAGAGTACTAAGCTAAATAAATCTAATGGTAGGAAATGCAACAAAGAAATGGTAGCTTGGACATCCAAGCCTGAGAGGGTCTCCTGCGAGATTAGGCTGAGAGCAATCAGCTACACTACAAGAGAGGACAAGAGGTTACAGCACATGACATCATGGCATCAGTCAGCCATGTTGTTTAGCTGCCCCAATCATAAAGCCGTCGTGGGTTTAACTGAGAGAATCCTGATGGAGAAGCTCTCTAGGTTCACTGGGAGTCATGCCCTACCTGGAATGTGGAATTTAGTTATGGATTTCCTTTTGTAAGATGTTTAAGATGTCTAGAGGATGCCTACCAGGGATTCACCTCATGGAGATTTGTCGATGGGTGTCAGCATCTTTTCATATGAAAAGTATCTAAAGAACTGAGAAAAGTGGTTCTGATGTCCAAAAAATGCAGGAGTTAAGTGAAGCCTTTGGGGGTCACCTGAGGCCTGTATGTACTTATCTGAAGGGGTGTCAGAAGCAATGGGGCTTAGGAAAATGGCCTAAAGGGTAATTGAGGTGCTTCTAAGAAATGAACTCTCTATAAACATCTATCAGCTGCCCACAAGGGATAGGCTGCCCACAGAGAGAGCAGAGAGTAGATGGTCCCTTTGTGTGATGACTTAGCAGAGAAGAATGACTGACATCCTTCCAGATATCAGTAGCTGCCATTTCTAAGAACTTAACATGTGCTGGGCATTAGCTAAAGCAGTCTCAGATGCTCTGTCTGGGTTTCTGATATTGTGTAGCGAATTATCACCATTGGCTTGACTCAAACACTGCAACTCTATTATCTTATATGGGAACTCAGAGCTTAAAGCATACTCTAGGGGAGAATCCTTTCTCTTGCTCTTCAAGCTTCAAGGGTCTCCCTGCATTCAATGGTTATGGGCCCTTCTTCTATCTTCAAGGCCTGCGGCAACTCATATCAGGATTTTACCATCTCTGATTCTGACCTTCCAGCCCTCACTCAGAAGGACCCTTGGTATTTTATAGGTCCATCTGGGTAGTCACAATTTATCACTACACTTCAAGGCCTTGAACCATATCTGCATAGTTCCCCTTTCATGTAAAGCAAGATGTTCACAGCTTTGGAGATTAGGAATTAACACCATAATTTAGAGAACCATTTATCTTTCTTTCTACCCCAACTCTTTGTATCTTTATTTATTCAACTTGAGCTCTCACTGGTTTTGAGGGCTGAGCATCATTTCTATTCAAACAGAGAGGAAAACTCGAGGGAAGGTGAGTAGACTCAGCAGTGCCATGCTCAGGTGTGGCTGGGATTTGAATCTGATTCTCGCTCAGGCTCTGGACCACCGTGAGTTTTACCACTGTCTTATCCTGTGCTCAGCTAGAAATTCCAAACATTAATAAACATGTTTCTTTAATACCATTAATTTACTTGTGACATTATTGTGATTTATTTTTCTAAACTGTAACATAAGCCAGACGTGTCTGGCTAATATTAAATTTAACTGATCTCCTCTTGCTATCTTCTTAGCATCTTCAGCTAGCAGCTTCTTCCCTTCCTGGGTTTTGTCACCTTGGGCCTTCTCAGCTACAAGAGTTTGGAACAGTGTTATTTTCTGAGTTAGGATCTGACAGTCTTTGTAGACTCAAGGTTACACAGCTGCGTAAGTGTGTTTTTAACCCCAAGTAACAGAGTTGTCAGGGAGCGCGTGGAAGGGTTCCAGAAATGCCTGTTAAAAGCCTCGCAGTTCTTCAGGGCGGTCAACAGTAGCCATGGCGCCACCCACGTGCTGGAGTGGGAGATGTGAATGCACAACATTCAGTGGAAACTCCTGCTTTTCCTACACAGGTGCTCAAGTCCTGCAGAGGTGGGCAGTGAGCAAGCGCTGCTCGGGCCCCCTGTGCTGGGTCAGTTATTGCCGCACCTGAACATCAGTGGCCTGGTTTACCCCAACGCAAAGGAAGAAAAGGTAAAGTGAGGGCCCCATCCTACAGATGAGACCCTGAGGCTCAACACAGGTTGTTTGCATAACTAGGTCAGGTTAGAGAGTGAGGCAAGTTCAGGGACCGGGGTTCTAATCTGTCCCCAGGACAGAGAGTGTGTCACATCTTTTCTCTGGTCTTCTTTGCAACATGCTCTGCTTTGACACTGGTGACTTCATCATCTACCCACAGCCCAGATCAGGCCTATGTTGTACTAAAATAGGCCCTGGGACAGAGCAGAATTAATTGCATCTGGACTGTGCCCAGCTAAATGGAGAGAGGTCTTGGGCACATATCTGGGGTGGGTGGGGGGATGCAGGCTATCAGGAAGTATCTGCCAGCATCAGGCAAGTGAGTGGAAGAGTTCACGGGGCTCGGGAAGGAATGGCTTTGAGTTAGGAGCCGTGTCTGCTGTGGTGGGAAAGGGTGTTTGAAAGGCTTCCCACACACTGGGTTACTACCTGACTGCCTGAGCAAGTGATTTCTAGATGATTCATACAGCGCTGCCACGGAGAGTTTGTCAAGTCCGCATCGTGGGCTCCACCGTTGATGGAGGGCCTCAGATTCTAGGAAAGAAGGAAAATAACATTAGAAAAATACTTAAAAAAATTAATGCCAGACACTGGGCTAGAAGGATAGAAACTGCACTTCCTGGGTACCTATTTTGTGACACGCACTGACTGGATACAAGGAAGAACACAGCACAACTCCCTCAGACAGATCAACTTCATAAGCCTAAGTTACAACCTCAGACAACACAGGAACTGAACAGGGGCCTTTCAGTGAATACAAAGGATGTAGCAAGAGCAATAAGGAACAAGTGGAGGAGAGCTGTATCTGGGAGCATCAAGCCTCTATTTTTATGACAGCACTGGGATATTAAGGCTACGATTAGGAACACATACAGACAGGCATGCATACATGCACCCTCCTGCCGCACACATGCTAGCGCAGCTTGAACCCAGGGCCTCACACATGCTAGGCAACTGTTCTGCCACCGAGCTACACCTTAACCCAGCGGTGCCACTTTTAGGACTCATCTAGCAAGGGGACTCCATTTCTTCAGATTTACCCTCTCCTGATGTGTGAATGTATGTCATTGATGTCTATCCAGTTGGACTGCCCCACGCCCAAAACATACACATGTATGAAATGTATTTAGAGGGTATCCATTCCTCATTGAAGCATCCCTCCAACGCCTGGACCACCTTAAACCTTTTCTTCCTTCCTTCTTTCTCTTCTTCTTCTTCTTCTTCTTCTTCTTCTTCTTCTTCTTCTTCTTC